TATATATGTGTGTGTGTATGTACATTCTTTGTGTGACGTTGTTGTTTTTGCGTTCATGCCTTTCTGGTGCCGATACAGACGCGTGCACACAATATACTTGTCATCTTTATGTTATTTACTATGTGTACAGGTACATATATAGAGCGGGAGATCCTATTCGTGCATACTCGCACACACTTAAAACATCGCAGTATAACTGATGTACCTATCCTGCTCTCTACGGTCTGAGCATAGCTCATACTTTCAATCAGGATTTTGTTTGTATTGACAATTCGTTCATATCTTCTGCTCTGAAACAACCCACAGGAGCCGGAGGATTTATTTGAGACCATCTCACAAGCACTGGTCAACGCTGTAGACAGAGATGCCGTCAGTGGTTGGGGTTGCATTGTACACGTAATGTATGTAACCAGCATATGTATATATGTAGTGTTGTACGCGTAATGCAGGTAACTAGTACATATATATCATCGTACACGTAATGCATGTAAGCAATATACATGTAGTGTTGCACACGTAACGAGTATATGTAATATTGTATGCGTAATGCAGGTAACCAGTGCATGTATATCATCGTACACGTAATGCATGTAAGCAATATACATGTAGTGTTGCACACGTAACGAGTATATGTAATATTGTACGCGTAATGCAGGTAACTAGTACATATATATCATCGTACATTTAATGTATGTAAGCAATATACATGTAGAGTTGCACGCGTATATGTAATATTGTACGCGTAATGCAGGTAACTAGTACACATATATCATCGTACACGTAACGTGGGCAACCAATACATTTATATATATATATATATGTATAGAATTTCACACGTAATGTGAGTCACTATTGTATATGTACCATTGTACAAGTAATGTGAGTAACCAATATAAATGTAGCGTTGTATACGCTATTTGAGTATCCATTATATTTGTACCGTTGTACACTTAAAGTGAATAACCCGTATATATGTAGTATTGCACAATTATTGTGAGTTGCCATTGTATATGTCCGTGCACGTATTGTAAATAAATGAAACACTTAGTAGTGTACACGTTAGGTGAGTAGCCATTATATATGTAGTGTTGTACACGTAATGCGAGCAGTCATTGTCGATGTACCATTGTAGACGTGATGTGAGTATTCGATATGTATTCATGTAATCTTGTACACGTAATGTTTTAGGGTTTAGGAAACTGTACACCCCCTTAAAACCTTATCATATGTATTTTAGACACTAGCATACACAGTATGATAGCGTGTTGTCTCAGTATTCACTAACATACACAGTATGATAGCGTGTTGTCTCAGTATATGGCTAAGTACGATGCTATCCTGTGATACTCCCTCAATATCCGATGATGCAGTGAGAAGGACAAAATCACCACCAGAACCGTCAGAACCCGAATGGACTAATGCATTTGGGTTGTGAGTCATCAGTGGATACCCAGGGACAGCCACCAACCATAATAGTCGACTGGGGACTGTGACCGAAACTCTGTATATACCCCAGTAATAAAGTTAACGTATAAGTGATCAGTGTAGTTTGTATGACCACGGCCAGTGCTCTGTATATCTACCGATCTCACGTTAATGTGTGTTCGTTAACTTGTACATAACTTGTACATGTATGGTCATAGTCTAGTAAACGACAGTCTAAAAGAGAGGCGAAGTAACTGCGTACAGTTGAAGGAAGGTAGATTAGGTTAGTTAAAAATAATAGACGATATTGAGTTCTCTGGGGGATGATATACTAATATCGATATGCCTCGCACCTTGGTGAGGTAGAGTGAGTGAGAATGAATCGGTTATTTCACACAAGAGTGTCTGATTGAAGTCTATGCTGCAGCACAAATCGCACGCGATCTCTATATCTCCGCATGATGAACCTTGCATGTTAGCTTAATTATAAGGTCACGCTGCACTGACAGTGTATGCTTTTGGCGTTTGCGTTCGAATATCATATGTCAAATGGCAAACTAACACCTGCTTCAATACCAAGTGTGTACCAAATAGCTGTTTACCCTCCCGTAGTCAAAGAGGGTCTATAGTCGCGCGATTGGCAACGTTTTACAACGGCTCTTCCAGTGAATCTCAGAAAATCAATCAAGATCCGTCACAGTGCCCTGGTTACGAGCACGGGGCCTGTATTGCACACAGGACAATACTGTATGGCGTGAAGATCTAACATCATCTGCGTATAAAAATTTTGATTTTGCTATATGTAGATCATGGGTTGTGAACGAACTTCTGAGTTTACGTCTTCGAGTACGCCTTTCGGAACCAAATGAAAACGAGCTCTAATCAACCTAGACAGTCTCTATTTTAACAGTACGTATTCATTAATATCGACAAAATCTTCTTGTGCACACGCACCTGACCCACAAAATGTACCTCAACAAATACAATTCAGGTGATCTCTACATGTTTTATTTATAAAATACTTTTGTTAAACAGGTGTTCTGTTTGCTGTCATTCCCGAGGGAATCTACTGATTATCTCGATTTCTTTCAGCGAATAGCGGACCCACATCACAACCTTGTTCACTGACGTGTCATGGTTCAAGAAAAACCCTTGATATAGCCAAAGTTGAATTGATCATATTCTATTCGGAATGTGGATTGCTTGTTTATATATCCATGTTCGCGTCAAGGATAGTGCGGTTTGAAAACGGTGTTAGTTTCACTTATTTACACCGCGGATGGGTCAAGATCAGCCTTGAGCTTCGAGCAAGTCAAATGAATAATATAAATATAAAAGCGGAAGCGTTATTCAATCATCATTTATACCAGCCAACTGTGAACACTTTGGAAAAGAATATAGAACTAATACATACATACAAGATGTTTAAACTAATTGTATCAAGCGTCTGTGCCATCGCTTTAGTCGGCACCTCTGCTGCCGCCAGAGGCGAAGATGTAGACTTTAAAATACCTATTGTGCAGAGTCCTGTACATCCTGAATTCTCCTTAGTCGAAGTAGTTAAGGAAATCGTTGAGGATGCGACGTGCTATGAAGACAGACAGAAGAACGTTCTAGTGGCATGTGTCAGTGGTGCCATTCTAAAGATGGTTACTTCATTGCCTAATGTTCACTTTCTTGTTGAGTCAGCAGCTGAGGAATTAATCTCGGCGACGGCGGGGTGTATTGAGACCAGCCCTGAAAACTCAGCCTTCCTACTGTGCACCACGAGCGAGTCCAAAAAAGGATCCCTGCTGATTCCTCTAGCTGACTGCAACCTGGACGATGTCAGAAGGAGACGCAAATGCGTAGAGACTGTCCTTACCGTGAATATGCAGTTATGGACAAGCAATCCGCAATATAAATTTGAGTTTCTTATTTTAGTTTCATTCCAATACATCCTTTGCTATCTGAAATTTCTTCCATAACTGACTCGGTTCCCT